ACCAACAGCTGAGGCTGTGATGGCGCACGTAGATTCCGAGATTACTTGTTTAATCGAAAAGGCCAGGGCAGCTTTTGACAACCTCAAACACCTATGGTGCTGACATGATGTCAGTTTGTCTATCAAGAACAGGGTTTACAATACGGCAGTTCTACCCATCCTGCTTTATGGATCAGAAGCTTGGCCTCTACATGCAGAGGACATAGGAAATTTGTCAACGTTTGGGCATCAGTGTCGCCGAAGCCTTACTCGGGTTATTAATGCTGAGGTATGTCAGGTAAGTAAATCGTCCAGCTGTAGCACTCTTCCTGTGCCTAACTGCCATGCCACCAGAACGAAGGACTGAGATGCTGCCAGGTTGCCTAAGGCTAAACAGGAGAAATCGAGATGCAGAGGTCGGGTTCGAACAACGGATCTTTCTTTGGGTGGCATGGCTGTTAGGCACCGAAAGGGTGTTACAGCCGAACTAGTTTTTACGCCAGGTCATTTTAGGATGAAGGAACTCTCTCGAGACAGATGAGTTACTCACACTTCATGGGTGACGCTGGTTAGGACATGTACTCCGCCAGCCAGAAGACCTGCCACGCAGCGACCAAGAGGTGGACAGTGTATAACCTGTCAGCGAAGTATGAAAGCACCAACAGCAAACTATGTGGGGTTGACAACTACCGCCTCCATGGATGGGAACCCCGAGACCCACTGGTTAAATGGCTCAGTAGCACAATTGTGCATCAGAGCTGTTGTCTTTAATGCGTAGTTCCCAGTTTCCGAACTAACTGAGAATGCGATCGCACCGTGTGTTTGACTGTAAGCCCTACTTTATCCCACTTTCTGGTGATCGAAACTGTAGCAGCTGGAACCAATGCATCCATGGTGCCTGGTTTGTAGCTGGTAAATTGATTGGAATTGATCGATTTGCCACACATGCCGTCCCTTGTTTCAGTTGGTACGAAAATTGAGGTATCGCGGTACATTTTCTTGATGAAAGATACTAATTTGTTGTTAAATTGGAACAAAACATTAGCAAAAATTCGGGGAATGCCGCTACCTGATGAGCCCCGAGAGGGACGAAACCGTTCGTGGGTTGTCGAAGAGTTTCCCGAGAGGGAACCGTTCGTGGGTTGTCGAAGAGTTTTCGGCAACCTAATGAGTAGGGATCTCTGTCAAGAGAAAAGGAAATTATCTTACTTACAGAATCAAAATTTGCTCTTATGGTACAGAAAAGTTTTATCTATAGTCTGGGGCGATAGGCGCCTTTGTATCTACTCTTGGCAGTCCTATCGGCGGTTACCATCCTCCCCTGTTATCGCTTCGTTTTTAACCATATACATCCCCACACTTGTTTCCCACCGGTTTCCTACGTTTTCAGTTTGTGCTCTAAATCCGACCCACCCATTGTACCCGACCGGCCCTCCACCGTCTCCCATCATCCAGTGTTTCATCCACTGGCTACAAACGAGTCACGTTCAGCCGAAGTCCCATCACCATTCAACAGCGAACCATGCAGTTACCTGGCTATCGGTAGACTGGTTGTTCGTTATACGTCGTTTCAAGCACTGCTTTCAGACACACGCGTATGCGGATCAAGTTTTCGCTTGCTGCCCGCCTACACCCATCTGTTTGGCCTGGTGGACAATTTTCGTTCCATTGGATTGTGTTTCTATGTAGGTTTACTTGCTGTCCTACCTTAAATCAGTTCTGAATAGGAGCACTTTTGCTTCCGAATAATTGTGATATTGAAGGCACGTTTGCATCTGCTTTGCGCCTTTGACTTCGGGCGCGGTGCACTTATTCAATGGTGTGATATTTACGGGAGCAATTTCTTCCGCTCTGGTTTTTGTTACTTAATACCCGAATTCTCTTTTGTACCTCAGACCGCTTCATCCGTTTAGGATGAAGTCCGATAAAAGTAGATTCAGATGTCACTCAGCCTTGGGGAGAAATGGTCCAAGTGATTAGAGCGCGAATTTACTGACCGAAAGGTCCGTGGTTCGAACACGACCTCTGCCTCTCGACTTCCCCTGTCTAGGCTTGGGCATCCTGGTAGTATCCCGGCGCTCGTGCAACCTTCGGGCGGCATGGCAGTTAAACCCCGAAAGGGTGCTACAGCTGAAGAAAACAGCCTAGACATTCACATTTTCGAGAGGGATTTTAACGCGACAGTTGTGGATTTTTCCGCGATGAAAAGCCCCGAAGTACTGTGTGACTGTTTTGTCTTTATTGAATGTCACGCTGGATGTCCACCAATTTAGTTGATCTTTCATTTGAAAGTTGTCACGAAGTATACTGGTCAGCACCAGCTTACATGGCGGTGAGTGGTGCCGTATGAAGTTCAGTCACAAGTGAAGCAGCTGAATGTTTGTGATCGGATAACTGCCATGCCACCAGAACGAAGGACTGAGATGCTGCCAGGTTGCCTAAGGCTAAACAGGAGAAATCGAGATGCAGAGGTCGGGTTCGAACAACGGATCTTTCTTTGGGTGGCATGGCTGTTAGGCACCGAAAGGGTGTTACAGCCGAACTAGTTTTTACGCCAGGTCATTTTAGGATGAAGGAACTCTCTCGAGACAGATGAGTTACTCACACTTCATGGGTGACGCTGGTTAGGACATGTACTCCGCCAGCCAGAAGACCTGCCACGCAGCGACCAAGAGGTGGACAGTGTATAACCTGTCAGCGAAGTATGAAAGCACCAACAGCAAACTATGTGGGGTTGACAACTACCGCCTCCATGGATGGGAACCCCGAGACCCACTGGTTAAATGGCTCAGTAGCACAATTGTGCATCAGAGCTGTTGTCTTTAATGCGTAGTTCCCAGTTTCCGAACTAACTGAGAATGCGATCGCACCGTGTGTTTGACTGTAAGCCCTACTTTATCCCACTTTCTGGTGATCGAAACTGTAGCAGCTGGAACCAATGCATCCATGGTGCCTGGTTTGTAGCTGGTAAATTGATTGGAATTGATCGATTTGCCACACATGCCGTCCCTTGTTTCAGTTGGTACGAAAATTGAGGTATCGCGGTACATTTTCTTGATGAAAGATACTAATTTGTTGTTAAATTGGAACAAAACATTAGCAAAAATTCGGGGAATGCCGCTACCTGATGAGCCCCGAGAGGGACGAAACCGTTCGTGGGTTGTCGAAGAGTTTTCGGCAACCTAATGAGTAGGGATCTCTGTCAAGAGAAAAGGAAATTATCTTACAGGATGAATCAAAATTTGCTCTTATGGTACAGAAAAGTTTTATCTATAGTCTGGGGCGATAGGCGCCTTTGTATCTACTCTTGGCAGTCCTATCGGCGGTTACCATCCTCCCCTGTTATCGCTTCGTTTTTAACCATATACATCCCCACACTTGTTTCCCACCGGTTTCCTACGTTTTCAGTTTGTGCTCTAAATCCGACCCACCCATTGTACCCGACCGGCCCTCCACCGTCTCCCATCATCCAGTGTTTCATCCACTGGCTACAAACGAGTCACGTTCAGCCGAAGTCCCATCACCATTCAACAGCGAACCATGCAGTTACCTGGCTATCGGTAGACTGGTTGTTCGTTATACGTCGTTTCAAGCACTGCTTTCAGACACACGCGTATGCGGATCAAGTTTTCGCTTGCTGCCCGCCTACACCCATCTGTTTGGCCTGGTGGACAATTTTCGTTCCATTGGATTGTGTTTCTATGTAGGTTTACTTGCTGTCCTACCTTAAATCAGTTCTGAATAGGAGCACTTTTGCTTCCGAATAATTGTGATATTGAAGGCACGTTTGCATCTGCTTTGCGCCTTTGACTTCGGGCGCGGTGCACTTATTCAATGGTGTGATATTTACGGGAGCAATTTCTTCCGCTCTGGTTTTTGTTACTTAATACCCGAATTCTCTTTTGTACCTCAGACCGCTTCATCCGTTTAGGATGAAGTCCGATAAAAGTAGATTCAGATGTCACTCAGCCTTGGGGAGAAATGGTCCAAGTGATTAGAGCGCGAATTTACTGACCGAAAGGTCCGTGGTTCGAACACGACCTCTGCCTCTCGACTTCCCCTGTCTAGGCTTGGGCATCCTGGTAGTATCCCGGCGCTCGTGCAACCTTCGGGCGGCATGGCAGTTAAACCCCGAAAGGGTGCTACAGCTGAAGAAAACAGCCTAGACATTCACATTTTCGAGAGGGATTTTAACGCGACAGTTGTGGATTTTTCCGCGATGAAAAGCCCCGAAGTACTGTGTGACTGTTTTGTCTTTATTGAATGTCACGCTGGATGTCCACCAATTTAGTTGATCTTTCATTTGAAAGTTGTCACGAAGTATACTGGTCAGCACCAGCTTACATGGCGGTGAGTGGTGCCGTATGAAGTTCAGTCACAAGTGAAGCAGCTGAATGTTTGTGATCCGAAGATACAGCGCCAGAAGCTGCGTTGGTTGGGCCATGTGTTGCGTTTGCCGAAAAGTCTGCTGTATTCTTTGCCTAATTCAGAGTGGCAAAAGCAGAGAGGTGGCCAACCCTTGACTTAGCAGAGGAGTATGAAGGGGATTGCGAAACGTTTGGGTGTTGTCGGTGCTACTCGCCTTCCAGGATGGGGCCCGCGTGATCCTCACTGCACCTGGTTGGAGACGCTGCAAGATATAGCTGTTAATCTATTTCGATGGCGTTCGTGTTTTTCAGTTTCTATCCAGATTGCCTGAATGAGTGTTTGGATGTGTTGGCACCTTGGAATGACTGTAGTAAACTAGCTCTAAGTCCCATTCCCACCAACCTTTATTTTTTCTTCACAATTAGGCTTCCAAATAAATCATATTTGTACGGCAGCGAAGCATGGGTGTTGAACACTGATGTCATCCTGTCGATGATGATGATGGCTGGAAAAAGATACGGATTCGGTGTGGATATTCTCAAGGGCGCTTCTGCCCCCTGCATTTAATGTTTTGACACTATTCGATATGCCTTATGTCTTACGAGAAACGAACAACCTATTAGTGTGCTCTGCATGCCTTTCTGACACTTGTTGTGTGGTAGGTTTTGCTGCTGGGAGAATGTTGGTAGCCAGGATTGTATAGATGGTATCAGTCTGATGAAGCCGGAAGGGCAAGCTCCTGGTGCGTGCTCTACTCAACCGCATGACAACTGAGGTGGTCGGAGCACCCATTCTCGAGGAATAATGTAGATTCTATGTTGGTCGCAGCACAACGGACCTTGCTTAAAAAAACCCTGCAAATGCCACCAGCCGCCCCATTAATTCTTCATCGACTTCACGAAGGCCTTTCTGCTCTGCAGTCCTAAGAGTGTTGTGTACAGCTATCTCCGAATACGGCTTTCCGCCTTAATTCACTGACCTCGTCAGGAGTCTTTATGATGGAATGAGAGGACAGGTACAAACGAATGGATCGGCTTCTGGGGATGCTTCCTTATCCTCACTCTCCACATTTTGTAGTGGATGCCCTATGTTTGTACCTGGGATGCGTCTCATGGTTGGTGTGGGACATCAGATAGCCCTTTGCATCCACTGTGGGGCTCAGCTGTTCAGTGGTACTCACTTGAATTGACAGTTACGGTCCATTAGTAGAGCATGCTAATGGAAGGTGCTCATGCGGAGTTGGCCCATATTTCCATTCATCCAACTACTCGGGATATAATTGAATAAAGCACAATGAATACGTTTTTACACCTCTGTTACTAATTAACTTTTGCCCATGTTTCACCTATATGAATACTGTCACATACTGTTTCGCTCTTGTGCCTCGATATTTTCTTCCGGTTACTTAATCCAGACATCCTTCTTGGCTTTCTCTCATTGTGTATAACTTTGGTTTCAATCAATTGTAGGTCTTCATCGGGCAAGCTTGATCCGCAGACTAAGGAGTACAAGTCGTTAAACGCAGCTTTAGGAGAGCTACACTACGAACTACTGCTGGTGAGTTTTCACTAGGCGTTTCCCATCCATTAGCACAGTTTCTTATATATAATCTTTTTTCCGTATTCAGCATCCACTATCCTCATTTCCGTCTTTTAACTGTGGTGTTCCCCATTAGTATGTGTCAGCGAATACGTGAACCGTAGGCTCCAAACAATTAAGGCATTTCGGAATTGCTTGTTTCACTGCTTGTGGAAAGTCTCAGCCAACAACACACAGGGTGCTTTTTTAAAAAAATTTCTAATAAAGTGAACGAATGTCTATTACCCTTTTACCTTCTTTGACGTACCCTCCACCGGCCATCCGACGCATGGCTAGACGAAGCGGACTCTGCAAGGCGAACTGTCCTCTGGCTTCCGAATTACATGAGCGTAAACTATGGAACTTGACCAACTGATCTATGTTGAGCTACTTTTCTTCGGCTCGGCGTTACTGACTCGATGTTCCCAATATACCCGCTCACTGCTTCGATGGCCAAAGACAGTCTTCGAAGATTTTCTATATACCGTAGTCACGTCCTTAATACACAGTTTAGGATAAATCACTTCGCAGCAGTGTACAGTCTACTCTTGATAGCCAAACTGTTCTGTCGGCGCGAAAAATGTCAACTTACTCTGTATATGAGTGAATGCCCGGGAGCATTTAATCCATCGAGATGTTAAAGACAGGTAAAGAAGACTCAAGTAGCACACGGATTGAGAAGTTAAAGGGAGAAGGCGACAAAGGGCACCCTTGTCCGACACCACTAGATGTGAACTCATTGAAGAATATACCATCGACACGTACGCGTCCCCAAGAGGAGTCATATAGGCCCTGTATGAGGGACTTGGCATTAGAGGAAACATGCTTCATATCCGTACACTGTCACAGTTTTTGATAATCAGGGTCGAGAGTGACTTTTAGATTAAGGAAAACGACCACCGTTGATCATCTGGATGAGTGGCCAAGCTCCAACATTTCTGATTCTCTCTGTTACTGTTCTGCAGTTTTGCCCAAACGGTTTTAGATGAATTATGGTCATCTCCCTCTTTACTCCAATCATCATATGCGAATCTTGGATGATAGTTAAAAGACATTTCATATTTTGGGGGTAATTGCTCCTCAGAAGACATTTCTTGTTGCCTTAGAGTCTCTTTGCTTACTGGGAGTGGACTGTTAAGGGAAACCCATTTCATTAGGTGCATTTCTTCGAAAACATTATTGCCCGTTGAAAGCGATCTTACCAGAGAATACTACGATAGTCATTACGGTCATATTGCGGGAAGAAAGGCTTTCCAAATGTCCAGATACGTGGCGCCCATCCGGTTCATAGTCCTCATGCTTTCAGAAGGCAACGCAATGCTGGGACTACTAACAAATTGCTTAAGCTTAGGTAGAGAGAATTTAGAACTCTGGTTCAATCCGATCACCTGGATCAACAGTTCACCTAATTTTTGAGACAGCTTTAACTTGACATAGTGCTTTTCCTCAGTCTTGTTCATCTGCATTTCTTGAACAGGCTTAATTTGTTCCGAAAATCGACCACTTTCGCTTGTTTCTTCGGATGATACTCTGAAGGAAATGCTAAAACTGGTGCCTTCGTTTTAGTCTGCTCGAGTATTGATAGTTCAGGCAACCAGACTGACTATGCTGTCACAAAATGGAAGTATGCTTCGTATGTGAAGCCTTGTAACACAGTCGACACCCGAAAAAACAAGCCCACGCCCTGGCGCAAACGTCTACAGAGGAGGAAAATCTTTGAAATCACGGAATTAGTTTTCCTTGCGGCTTTCCTTCCCATAGATTAAAAAACAGTACTGAGGATAGAACACCTTATGGACTTCAAAATGGTTGATTCACACCCTAGTGGAAATATCGTCATGTCATTCACCCAGATTCATTGGTGGACTATCACTTCAAACAGCTTGTAAGCGCAGCCCTTCCCCCTCCACAACGAATTTTCATCACTGGCATTTTCAAGATGAACTAGCCATTACACATTTATCAGTTGAATTACCTACCGGGGATGATAAAGTTGACGGGTAAAATGAAAGAACGCACAGCTCCATGATTACTCAATTTCCAGTGTTTTAGTTGCTTTTGTTTGAATGTAGACAGAGTAAACAAGACCGTTTTTAGTGATCTAGACGTTGGTGTCGGTGACCGCCGGACACTGAGTCAGCTTTTCGAGATGCAACTACCCCTACGATTGAGGTAGACTAGAACCACCCTACCCACATTCGTTTTCCACTTTAGGCCTTTAAACATAAACCATCTTTGTGGTTGTATGGCGGTGAACCTGCATTGTCAACGCTGGTGTTGCTGCGTGTGATAATGATCACTGAAAACGCTTGCCATGTTTTAATTGTGGATGTACAGGCTTATTGAGTAGTTGGAGCGTTTACTTCACATGGGACTGAAAATTCTGTCCCAAACTCACGGAAGCTTTTTACCGCACCCGGATACGAAATCTCATCAATTTGTTGGAGAAACATACAATGAGTAGACGCTTCGAAATCCTCTCCAGGATGTACCACAACCAATCGGACACGAAATAAAAAGAAAACATCACTTACGACCCAATAGAATTCGTTACCGCAGAATACTGTCACCCATTCAAGCTCTATTTATGTGTCTCTGTCTTTTGTTTAGTGTTCAGTTGATAATACCAGTTCGCCAAGTACCTCATCAGGACATCGGCATGGGAGTGGAAGCAACCCCATCAACACCAGCAGTGGGTCTAGTGCCGGTTACACTACCTTTGCCAATTGGTCTTTATCCTGCTTCCGAAAACAGCAGCCTACTAAGGACTACCACTACCTAGAATTGTTTGTTCAACATGTTTCCAAACGTTGTCTGAAGCCGATTGACACCAAGGTATCGTCATGTCCCACATCTGAGCTTCATTTGAAACAATCCTGTTTGGATATAAAGGAGGATTTAGCCATAACGCGCACAATTGAGTTCCTGCAACTGGCCTGGATTAGTGGGCGGCTACGAAATCTTGGTACAGGTAAGATCCATATTTTCTTGGTTTGGCGGCTAGATATCCAGTAGCAATGTTATAAGGCCACCCTATGTTTTTCAGACAGAGCTTCCATAAACTAGGTCCCGTCACATCGAGGATTGGCGGATGACAAGGCACGGTTGTATTTTGAAAAAGCAATCCATGAATTCGTTGATGAGTGAGGATTCGCTATTGACACAAACACCTGTAGATTAAATGAGTGGTGCCATTTTATTTGCCTGCCAAGTTTAAGATCTCGTCAGCTTCCGGGACGCGCACAGTGGAAATATTCTTCAGTGTATGCAAAACAATTTCATAGCCCCGACATTTTCGAAGTCAGATAACCTTCTAACTCCTCTAAAACGGCGCTTTTTGTGAGATTCAAGTGTCTCCTATCGGAAATCCAATTCTTTCCCAAATAGTACATAGTGCCTCAGAGTATCCCTACCGGATTCAGCACTCATGTAGTTAGAGAGTTTGAGTATTCTGTGTCAACACGCTGCCGAGCAACAAACCTCCATTCGAAAATGTGTTCTTTCCCTAATTCCACATGGATACCTCTTTCCGCTGCCTGTTGGATCTCAAAAGCAGTTAAGTACTCGTGTTGCATGACACGCAACGCTAAAAGGTAGCCCGATGTGAGCATTCGAGTAGAAACACTGGAGCACGTCAAAGTATATCAATCGACAGTTAGGATATACTAAGCTGCATGCAAGTTATCTGATTAGTCTTAGTGGAATGGGCTATTTCAGTTTGAAAACCTTCCAGTTTCCAGTTTAAACACCTGTGCCTATCAGGGCTTTAGCGCCATTCAAATCCTGTTCTCACGGATAACTTCCATCACTAAATCGACCTACTAACGTTTTAGTGTCTACACGATGCAGCAGCATAGTGGAACTCAGAAAAATGTGTCAATCTAGTAACTCCACCAGTAACATGCTAAGAACAGTGATGACTAGATGACATGACAGTGTTGAAATGCACTGCCCTTCCTCGCCCAATGTTCAATACCATTTATTTGCTTGCCTATGATTTGAGGTGGCTATACCGAGAATGATCACACAACTTAATCAGACAGATTTTTCCACTTATGTTCTTCCTTGAGATTTCAATAAGCTGAAGTTTTGTGTAGTAGTATTTTCCCTTTGTACTAGCATTATTATTACTGAAGTGTTGATAACGCGAATGCCGTGGGTTTGGAGCTCGAGATTGCTCACTGGTCAACGGGCGAAATCACTGACCGAAAGGTCCGTCGTTCGAACCCAATTTTCGTATCTCGACTGCTTATATCTAGGCTTGAGCAACCTAGTAGTGTCTTAACCCTTGTACTTCTTCCGGGTGGGTGTCAGCTATACACCTTAAGAGTGTTACAACTGAACTATTACTTACCCGACCGAAAGCTGTCACTTTGCCGTGGTGGTCGGGCTTCAGTTTTGCTATAGTGACTGAAACTCAGTTCCTGAAGGTTCAGTCATTCCAGGAAACCCAACGGAGAGCGGTCCGATGAAGAACGGTGAGTCCCCATACTGCGAGGAATCGTACTATGAGGCGGTCTGGATGAAAAGTCATATCATCCTCTGCGTTAGGAGTGTGGAGGCAGTAAGGCATTTCTTCCAGGCGATCAGCATATTCTTATTTATGGAAGCAGCAGTACTTGTTAGGTCATGTACTTCGCCGTGGACCGTTGGCCTCGCAGAGCCCCCTTTGCCCATCCTTTTGTCAGATGAGGACGACCCAGAGGCGGTCAGTCTATGACCTCGCAAAGAAGCATGAAACCTTTGCCAGTCAACTGAGTAATGTTGGTTTAGGTCATCTGTCCGGATTGGAACCACAGGATGAGACAAACCAGTGACTTTTGACCCTGACCCGCTCTCAACCCCTGCCACACAGAACAAACAGAACCACTCAATAAACCGATTTGGCCATTGCAAAAAAACTTAACCGAACTGCACCATTTATCCAATATATTTCTCGTGTTTGAACAACAGTTACCTGTACAACTAGCCTATTATGATGGTCAGTTTATATGACTATTTTCATTATTTCCTAAGTCGGAAAAAACATGCCATCAAGTAATGCATCGAGTGAACTGAAATACCCTACTTGCGTATCGAAATCTCCGTCGATCAGGGCTACAACAGAACTCTTCGTAGTGGACAAGTCTGTGGTTATTTCTGGATAGAAAGTGTATTTCGCGAAATATTTTCTGCATGGGGGAAAACTACGGCTAGAACGTGGTTAGTATTTCGACAGATGTGAGTTCCTACGAGTTCTTATGAAAGTGGACAGACGAACGACATAGAGGTGACTGTTTGCAAGTGTCCAGTCAAGAAGAGAAGTTTCAGCTTGGGAGCTGAGAGTTATCTCAACACCGACGCAACCGAATGTAGCAGTTGAATATCAATCTTTAATTCGTAATCGATAGCGACTGGACAATGGATTTTGTATTCGGCTTTCAGAACTGTAGCAAATGTCTGTCGACAAGAGGAGCTTGTTGGTCAGCTTGCTTAAGGGCTCAAACATTAAAGGCTGTAGAATAGGCGGTTAAACGAGGTCTGATTAAAGAAAGTTGGATGGCAGTTATAAGCGGTGGTGTGTGCCATTGGTTAATTAGCCGGGTGTCTGACAGGGTTCCCTGCAGATAGGTTCTACAAAAGAACGATCAAATAGGATCGGAGTGGAAACAAGAACGAATAATGAAGAATGATGAGAGGCATCGATTGCAGCAGGTTTTCGCTCATTGTCCCTGCTATATGTATCCACTAATCAGTGTAGTAGGAGAGACTATGGATGCCGAATCGACATCTAGTTAAATGCATTACTGAGGTACACAAACGGTTGCACCGTGAGAAGGCTCAGTCTTTTCGTGACGATTTACGAAACCGTGAGGTTGAAGTTTGTTCAGGTGTCACTAGAAGGTGGAGTTGGATTCTGAAAGCTCATTTACATGAAATCTTTCGTCTCTGTTTGTACTCATTACTAAAAAACCACAGCCTTTCGGCAGTGATTGGATCCTCTTCCACTATTTTCCATCGCTTATATTATTTTCCACCGTGATTGTGAGAGTTGTACACTATTCTTGCCAGCCATCGCTTGTCTTTTTTTCCAGTGTTATGATAACTCTTAGGAACTACAATTTTACAATAACGGTATACAACTAAGCTCCAGTGGTCTGCTTATTTTTCAGCCTTCTAACCGCGCCACTTTTTTCACTTCCATTTTTAGATGATTTCACCAGGTTACTTTCCCCACTTGCAGAGCACAAACTAATCCACCTGTTTCTCACACGAATAACGGTAACTAAGCTCCAGTGGTCTGCTTATTTTTCAGCCTTCTAACCGCGCCACTTTTTTCACTTCCATTTTTAGATGATTTCACCCACCA